TTCCTCTCCAGCCAGCCCCCATGAGCCATGCTCCGGGACAGAGAAAAATGTCTTGAATGGGTTAAAGCCTGCGTCATTTTGCATGTTAAATTCCTTTTCTTGGGTGACTGCCAAACAGGCAGAGCTGAAAATCAGGCAGGCAGGAGGACCTGATGCTGGCATCTGAATGTGACTTAAAGGGTTCACAGTCCTACCACAGATGGAGTTGTTCAGCCTGGAGAAGAAAAGGCTCCAGGGAGACCTTATAGCAGCCTTCCAGTACCTGAAGGGGCTGCAGGAAAGTTGAGGAGAGGCTGCTTACAAGGGCATGTAGTGATAGGAGGAGGGGCAACGGTTACAGAGTGAAGCAGCGTCGTTTTAGATCAGACATTAGGAAGAATTCATGGGGACAGTTGGAACTAGATAACCTTTAAAGTTCCAACCCAAACCATCCTATGGTTCTGTGCCTGCAGGCTCTGAGGCACCGCAATGTCAGCCAGCAGCTGGCAGGCACATGCCAGGGACATCAGGGCAGCACATCTTGCTTGTCCTCTAGCTCTGAGACCACAGTAATGGGGACAAGCCAATGTGCCTTGCTAAGGTGGTGAGGACACCTGGATGGCAAAGCCTCCAGCGTTCACCCAGAGGCCACCAGCCTGCCAGACTGCTCCAACAGGCTGCAGCCCCTCCAGAGCCACCAACTGCCATCCTTGCAGGGACCCACCAGCAGATGTGATTTAGTGAGTACTGAGTAAAAGTGGAGCTCATCACTCACCTCCACTGGCTGCCTGTGGTCGAGACAAAGCTCAGGATACCAAGAGCATTCATAGCTGCCCGGACACACCATTGGCACCGCACTGAGAGCGTGCTGCTCATCTCCTACAACAGCAGGTTCTTTTCATTAAAGGGAAGAAAAAAGAAGAGGTCCAGCAGAGAAAGTGCCTCACTGGTTCCCCACTTCAATATTCAAATATCCAGAGCATGAAAAATAAAAGTGGGAGACTGGTATCTGACTCTGTATATATAGAGGCAGCCTGGCCATGATCAGTGTAACTCAACCCTTTGTCCTTCAGCAGTCTCCTGGATTTCAAGAAAGCCAGAGCTGACCTGAAATAGGACCATAACACCACAAAGCTGTCTCATAAACGGTGTGCCTCTGGGAGCTTTGCAAAGGCATGAGGAATCACAAAAAGTCTTCACCCTTCTCCTTCACCTAGGTGCATCCAAATCCTCCATGGGACCTTCTTCTTTTAAACCTGACATGAAATTCCAGGTTTTCCTTCCCTGCTCCACCTTGTCAGCACAGAGGAGATGTTCAGACGGGTATGATGGCAGAGGCCTCAGAAACAGGGTATAACAAGTGCAAGTTAAAGCAGACAGAAGAGCTCCCGGCCGAGCAGTTCTTAATGACTTGTATTTTACACCACAACATTATAAAAAGTCACACTTCAGGCATTTGCTTCACAGCAGCATTGACATACACAGTCCAAGTAAGGATGACTTCTTCAGGGGCATGTCCTGTAAGCGCTCCAGCAGCTAGCACCTTCTCCTTATTTCTACAAAGCTAAGGCAGCTAAAACACAGCTAGAAAATTATTCTTGGCTTCTACGGATGTACAACCACTGTCTTTCAAAGTCAATGAACCTTTAAGATCAGACATTCATGTTGACTGGTGGATGTGTTGGGCTGCAGCAGTTATGCCAATCTTGGAGTTGACACAAAATCCCTGTTTCTTGCAAACCCAGCATAGACCCAAGGGGAGACTCATAATATCTGTAGAACAGTTGATTTTGACCTGGTCCTCCCATGACACAGCTGCACACCAGTATGCAGGGACCTTTGACACATGCAAGCAGCAACAGAACATTTCCCACCACGGTCCCAGGCTTCCTCCAGCACCCCACTGCACTAGCAATCCTTTACACATCCCTGCATGTCCAAGGAACATCAGAGCCGCATCCCTAGGGATAAATAGAGCTCACTGATATTCTGCAACAAGACCCCAAGAGAGCAAGGCAGGTGTTATCTTAATACGGGAAAGGCCATCAGATTTCAAAGCAACAGCTTCAACTTCTATCTCTTTAAATGCTTGTCTCATTTCCAGTCTGAATTGGGCAGTATCGGTTACATGGATTAGGAGCTGTAGAGGACATTAGTACAATTCCTCTTCCTGAGGTTTTTACAGCTTAATGGACAGGAAGCGTTAATGGTGAGCCTCCAGCTTCTGACACTCTGACCAGAATCTCCCCCAAAGCTCCCCATCTTCCCTTTGTGTTTTCTTCTGTCCTAGAATCACTCTCAATTAAGAGTACAGAAATAGAACCGATGTCATCCATTCCTCCTAATCTGCACATGCATTATTCATCAGTATGCCCTAATTGATTCTCTCAGAACCATGAACACTTCTGCACTTGGCTATGTCATTCTTGTCCAGCAGAGCACTATTTATGAAGTTTTATGCCACTTGGAAAGGGCACTTTCAAAGTGTTACCTTTCACAGCTTCTCTTCTCAGAGTTTCAGGTTAGAGCTCAATACATAAAACCATCACTCCTTACTTTTGTGTCCAGTCAAAAGTGTCCAACAAGCAACTGCCGCCCTGATGTCCTGTCAGTACTGCTCTAGGTACTCTGGGCCCTCTTCCCACAAAAACTTTAAAAGAGGTCTTTAAAACAGGTGAAAGGCAGGATTTAGGAAGGTCTTTGCATCTCTGAATAGATGTTCTGAAACACATAAGCTCTTACAAAAACTTTCCATGAAAGTTATAGAAGCATCTCCTAAACCTACTCACCCTGCTGTCCCTAGAGCAGCAGAAAAATAGATATCTCATCAGGAGGCTAATTCAGCTTTGCCACTAGAATAGATCTGGATTCTTCCATCCTGAGCTCTGCACAAGAGTTTTGGAAACTAAAAGCCTGTGACGGAATGCTTGGGAACAGAGTGGATACTATCAAGGTGCAGTCAACGGACACAGTCAAAGGAGCAGGTCTGAAATTCATTCTACAACCTGAGCAGCTGGGAGTCAGCATGCAACACCCCATTCAAAGCAGTTACCGAATCACAAACCTCATCACTGGCACAAGTACTTTGGGTTTGATGGGACAATAAATCACAGCAATTGTTTTGCAAGTACTTTAGTGACAGTATTACAACCACCACAGCACAGCTCCTACGCTGGTGGATATGTCCTTTCTTAGACCCTTCTCTTTAAAGTACTGGGTCTAACCTGTGTTACTTTACCCAACAAGGAGGAGGAACAGTCGCAACTGTGCCATGGTGACACTACTTGTGCTTCATGGAGATCTTCTCTGGACAGCAGCTCTACACAGCGCTCTGCATCCCACCACCATTCACCTGCTTAACCGCATCAGTGCTTCTTTTCCACATGCCTTTACTTGTCTCTGATTTCCTACATTTCTTTATTTGGTGCTTGCTGTGGGTGCTGTTCACTGTTCCCTTTGCTTGCTGCTGCACCGTCCCACTGTGGACAAAAGGAACGTGCTCCAGTCAGTGCCACTCGATGCAGGCACATCCCAACTGCAGGACGGGAAACCCACAGGTGCTGTCAAGCCATTTGCATCCTGAGAGAAGGACTCAAGTAGTCAATGCAGAGGGAAGTGAAAAATCAGAAACAGAAATTCACTCTGTTCCTAACATCACACTTAGTGTAATGGTAAACTTTGTGCTGAAGGACTTGGTCATGGAGTTACTGGGGAGCCTCATCTCAGAGGAGCCTGTTAAGTTTATGTTGGTTCAGCTTCACAGACATTTAACAAGCATTGATGTTCAATTTGGATATCATTGGCACAACACTCAGTCTGCAACCTTCTCCTTTCCCCACTAGAAGGGGCTAAGAACCAGACACTGGAGAACAGAAACAAATGAGTTTTGTTATGGACAAGTTAAAGGCAATCCTCATTACATGAAACAACTTGAACTCTTTCTTGAGCACCTTAGGCTCTGCACTAGCCCAGTCCAGAAGAGATTCAGTGTAATTACGGCGCAAGATCTCTGTACTCAGAGAGCAGGCACTTATTTTGTGCTGTGGTGAGCTGCTTTGGACAGGATTACAGTATTGAAATGGTGTAATGCCATT